AGGTGTGCCGCATCGACCTGAGGGCCCACCGTGGAGCGCAGCATCGCTCCCAGGCACCCTTCCCAGTCCCTGCTCGCGAAGAGCAGACCACGACGGGTGGGGACCCTCGCCGGGCCCCCGGGGCCGTAACAAAACGACACGGGAGGAAAAGCGGGGTCCAGGGAACGAGCAGAGTCTTCCAGGGTCCACGTAGCGCGCAAAAACAACTCACGACGTCGGGGGTCTGGGATTTGAGGCTTTCGGGCATTTTCGTCGGTCTTTCTTCTTGCTTCGAGCGCTCGGGGGATGCTCGGCTTGTCCCGAGCGGCCGCCGGGGTGAGAGCTACGACCCGAGAGCCATTCCTCGCGCCGTCGAGGCCTCCCCTGCCCGTGGGGCCCGATCCGCAGACGGTGTCCGAGGATCGCTCGACCTCGCCGGTGCATCGGCGAGGCGGCTCGGTGCGGAACCCGATTTTTTCTCCGCGCCAGCGTCGCCGCCGCATCGCCGGGGTCGCCGCGCCGCCGCCGCACTCAAACGCCCGTGCTCCGCCGCGGGGCCTCGGCGCGGGCGGCAGGGCTGCGCCGAAGCCCCGCGCGCCTCGGTCGGCGCGCCGGAGCCGCGGGCGCAGGTGGCGAGGCCGGGAGCCCCCCTGGCTGGCCAGCTGCGCGCATGCAGCCGGACGCAGGTATGAGATCGAGGTACAGTGCCGTTTTAAATACATGCTCCGCGTGCGGATCATGTATTGAACATGCAGGGATTTAGTATTAAAAGCAACGATGATGACTTCATGCGTACATTTATTCATGAATTCAACATGTATTAAAATCCGATATGTTTCAAACTCCTATGTATTAGAAACGGCACTGTAGGCTCGGGAGAGGGTGCCCTGAGGGTCTTCGTGTCTGCGGGATGTTCTCGTGCACCTGGGGGAGGGTTACCCTTGGCTGGTCTGTGCGTGTTGGCCGGCGGAGGGCCTCGTGTTCTCGAGGGAGGTTCTTCTGCCCCGGGTTCGGCAGGAAGGGGCCCTTCGCTGGAGTGACCTTCTGGTGCGGGCCTACAGAGGCCCCCCCCCAGCATTGGCTTGTGCGCCCAGATTTGCTTCCCCCCCGCGGGGCCCCTGAAGCCGCGCATTCAAGGTCATGCTAGCCCAGGGTTCATTTTACGTGCAGCCGACCTGAGAGCCAGGCGTCGCGATTTTCGGCGACGGGCGTTTTCGATCAGTTTCGGGCCCTGGGGCCGTCTCGTGCCGATTCGGCTCGAGAGGCGCCGCATGAAGATGGGGTTCATGCTCTGGTCGTGGCTTCTCAACATGTTACGTGGGCGACGCAGAAAAAACGCGTTCGCCTTCACCGACACTGGCTCGTGAGCTGCCCTCGTAAGGTCGCGCGCAAGCGCCCCCGTTTCCAGTGTGGCGTGCCGCGCGGGCGGCCCGCGCAAGCCACCGCGTAGGGTCGCAGTGCCCTCTCGCGTAAGATCCGTTCATACCTTCCTCGCCCACATGCTCTTCGTGACGTCGGATCTCATGGCTCCAGCCTGCACCGCGAGCTCCACTCCACCAGGCCGGCTGTGCTGCAGAGGTTGTCAACTGCGCACAAGGGAAGTACTTTGTCGGACGGGGCTGGGGCGAGGATAAGTCCGTCCCGGGGCGTTCCAGAACGCTCTCAGAGCGTTCCGGAGCGCTCCAAGAAGGCCGCAGCGCCCGAGACATCCTCCAGAGCCGCCGGATCTCAGAGATTCTCGATTTCTCCCCACCCGATTCTACCCTCGTTCTGGCTTTCTGGCTCTACTCGCACACTCTGCCGATGCTGCTGCTGGTGCTGCTGCTGCTGCCAGGCTGCCCTGCTGCTGCGTCGCCTCCCCCCTGCCGCGCCTGGGACCTCCGCGGTGCCAGCGCGGCCGCCCGCCAGCGCACGGCCGCGCGCGCGCGCGCCGCGCGGGCGCCGGCGCCGCGCAGGGGCCGGCCTCCCCGGCATCCCGCCGCTGCACCGGGCCGCGGCGGAGGACGGCGGCGGCCGGCCGCCCGCCCGCCCAGAAGGCCGCCCCGGCGGGCCAGGGCGGCCGCCCGCCGCGGGCCACCGCCCGCCGCCAAAAGGCAGCCCCGGGGCCGCCCAGCGAAAGGCGCTCGGGTCGGGGGCGGAGAAGAGGGGGGTGGTGACTGGGGGGGGGTGGCTATCATGGCGTGGGCCACGATCTCTCCCCAGGTTTCGTGGCGCCCCTTCTTGTCTCGTTACGTCCCTGGCCACCCCCCCGCTGGGCCGCGCACATGCCGCCGGTCATGATTTGCACCCCCCCCTCTTGGACACCCTCCTCTTGGCCGCTCCCGATCGGGGTGAAGAGCCCCCATCTCGCCGAGCGCGCTTCGCTACTCGCACAGTGCCTGCTCGCAAACGCGTCCGAAATGTACAGGTCTGCCTCTGTGTAGTATGTCGTACATCCCCCGTGAAGGATCCAGGCAATTTGCGAGCAGTTGATTTGCGAGCAGTGGGACGCGCCTGTCCACCATCCCAGGGGAAGCCTCGG